TTGTTTTTATTTCCATTATTCTAGGAGGTGGGTCATAGAGTATCTTGCTTTGATTTGTGTCATTGAGTGTTCTGCCTATGTTTTCCTCTAAGAGTCTTGTAGTTTCTGGTCTTACATTTAGGTCTTTAATCCATTTTGAGTTTATCTTTGTGCATGGTGTTAGGAAGTGTTGTAATTACATTCCTTTACATGTAGCTGTCCAGTTTTCCCAGCACCATTTACTGAAGAAGCTGTCTTTGCCCCATTGTATATTCTTGCCTCCTTTGTCAAAAATAAGGTGCCCATAGGTGCATGGACTTATTTCTGGGCTTTCTATCTTGTTCCATTGGTCTATATTTCTGGTTTTGTGCCAGTACCATACTGCCTTGATGTCTGTAGCTTTGTAGTATAATCTGAAGTCAGGAAGGTTGATTCCTACAGCTCCATTCTTCTTTCTCAAGGCTGCTTTGGCTATTCGCGGTCTTTTGTGTTTCCATATGAATTGTGAAATTTTTTGTTCTAGTTCTGTGAAAAATGCCATTGGTAATTTGATAGGGATCACATTGAATCTGTGGATTGCATTTGGTAGTTTAGTCATTTTCACAATATTGATTCTTCTACCCAAGAACATGGAATATCTCTCCATCTGTTTATGCCATCTTTGATTTCTATCATCAGTGTCTTATAATTTTCTGTATACAGTTCTTTTGTCTCCATAGGTAGGTTTATTCCTAGATATTTTATTATTTTTGTTGCAATGGTGAAGGGGATTGATTCCTTAATTTCTCTTACTGATTTTTTATTTTTAGCATATAGAAATGCAAGTGATTTCTGTGCACTAATTTTGTATCCTGGAACTTTCTTAAATTCATTGATTACCACTAATAATTTTCTGATAGTATCTTTAGGGTTTTCAATGTATAGTACTACGTCATCTGCAAGCAGTGAGAGCTTTACTTCTTCTTTTCTGATCTGGATTCTTTTTATTTCTGTTTCTTCTCTGACTGCTATAGCTAGGACTTCCAAAACTATGTTGAATAATAGTGGTGAGAATAGACACCTTTGTCATGTCATCAGGACATGTTTTAAACTCTTTCTATGGGCCAGGCACTGGGCTAGGCACTAGGAATTGAAAATTGAGTAAGATACTTCTGCCCTTAAAGCTCTGGAAGAATTGGAGGTATTTGCAGCTTGGGAGATGATCAAATATGATTACCCCATGGTATAGTTATTTTGGTTTTACATGTCTAGCTCCACACTAGGTGTTGACCTCTTACAGGTGGGACCGCGTTTCATCTCTGTATTCTTAGCACCTTTCAGAGATTCTGATATAGAACAAGGCCCCACAAACTTTTGCTGGCTAAATAAATGAACAGATTAGCAACTCTAATGCATTTATTTCATTGAAGTATCTCTTCTTTAATGCATGTTTAAGAAATATCACTAACCTACTAACAAGATGAACTTTGTACCCTGACAAGCCTCATTGAAAGCTGTCTCCTAACTTCCCATTTCTATGTCCTGTCTCAAAGGATACAGTGCTCAAGATAACTTCTCTTCAGTGCATGCGTGCTCAGTTACTTCAGTCGTGTCCAATTCTTTGCAGCCCTGTGGACTGTAGCCCTCCAGGCTTCTCTGTCCATGGGATTCTCCAGACAAAAATACTGGAGTGGGTTGCCATGCCATCCTCCAGGGATCTTCCCGACCCAGGGATCAAACCCATGTCTCTTAACATCTTCTGCATTGGTAGGTGGGTTCTTTACAACTAGTACCACCTGGGAAGCCCAAAGTAAACACCCGAACAGGGACTTGAATCCTGGACCCTCAGATAAAAAGTCTGACGCTCAACTAACTAAGGACATGCCTCTAAAAATAACTCCTCATCAGACTTGAGGCTAATTTTCCCTCAGCAGCACTAATGTATATGAAAAGCACAGGCATATTAGTAATTACTGTTTAAGGACATGCATAGTGAAAGACTTTAATGTTAACTAGTAATTCCTTTGTCTGGAGGTGTGACTGACTCCTTATCTCTGTTAATTTTGACTTGGAAATATGCTTAAAACAATGTAATGCTTGATAGGCTCCTTAGGAATCTTAAATGCTTGAAGGCCATTCTTGAACTCCTTTTGTTAATATAGTATTATGAAAGAAACTGCTGACTTGAGCACCCTCCTACCAAGAAGATTATCTGTCTGTCCCACCCCCTCATATTTTCTCTTGCTTTCTATGACAGTGTCATCTCTTTGAAGTAGGTGGAAGAGATTAATGGATTAAACACTACTTAAATCATTCTGACTTAGATTCTATATCCAAAAAAAGAGAAAATCTTCTGAAAATACCTGGAAACATTCTTTAGGCAATATTGGAGAAATCTTGAGGTTAACTGCTTAAGATACAGATAGCCTAAAGCTTAGCATACCATAGAAAAATATTTCAGACCATGTAAAAATGTCTAGTAGGAATACTAACATGCTTCCCATGTCAAACCATAGATAGGTCACATAAAGATTAGATGTGTTGTGAATTCATTGGACAACTACAGAAGAAAGGAAAGTATATTTTGACTGACAGCTAGCAGTCTCTGCTACAGGTACCCTCCAGCTCTGATGCTTGTAGGAATATTTGAAAACCTCTCTCTCAATATCTCTTTCTCTCTTTTGTTGGATATCTTTTTACTTTTAAGACCAACTATTAAATAATTTTCTAGGAATTTTATTTCTCTAGGAGCAATAATGTAGTTCTATTTTTCTGGAGATTACAAAACCTTATCTTCTTTATTGAAGTATAGATGATACAGCAAAGAATCTGCCTACAATGAGGAGTCCCAGGTTCAATCCCTGGTTCAGGAAGTTCCTCTGGAAAAGGAAATAGCAATCCACTACAGTATTCTTGCCTGGACAATCCTGTGGACAGAGGAGCCTGGCTGGCTACAGCTCATGTCATTGCATTGACTATAGTTCCCTGTGCTGTACAGTAGGACCTTTATTTTACAGATAGTAGTCTGTGTCTGCTAATCCCAAACTCCTAATTTATCCCTCCCACCCCCTTTCCCCTTTGATTACCATAAATGTGTTTTCTATGTCTTCAAGATCCCATCTCTTGATTAGCAATGCCGTGCCATATAAACCAATCATCACTATTCTATACAACTCCCTGTAGGTTGAATTTTATTAATTATGATTTATTTAAAAGGGACAAATGAGATATGCAGGTTAAAGATCTTATTTTGTGAAATAGTGAAGTCAGGGGTTCATTCCTGTACAATGTCACAAACCTCCATCCATAGTTCATCAGGCACTCTGTCTATCAGATCTAGTCCCTTAAATCTATTTCTCCCTTCCACTGTATAGTCATAAGGGATTTGATTTAGGTCATACCTGAATGGTCTAGTGGTTTTCCCTACTTTCTTCANTTTTCCAAATTTGCTGGCATATGGAACGCAGCACTTTAATAGCATAATCTTTTAGGCTTTGAAATAGCTCAGCTGGAATTCCATCACTTTGTTTGTACAAATGCTTCCTAAGACCCTCTTGACTTCACACTTGAGGATGTCTGGCTCTAGGGAGTGACCACACCATCATGGTTATCTGAGTCATTAAGACTGTTTTTGTACATTTCTTCTGTGTGGTCTTGCCAGCTCTTCTAATCTCCTCTGCTTCTGTTAGGTCCTTACCATTTCTGTCCTTAATTGTGCCCATCTTTGCATGAAATGTTCCTTTGGTATCTCTAATTTTCTTGAAGAGATCTCTAGTCTTTCCCATTCTATTGTTTTCCTCTGCTTTGCACTGATTGCTGAGGAAGGCTTTCTTATCTCTCCTTGCTGTTCTTTGGAACTCTACCTTCAATAGGGTATATCTTTCTCTTTCTCTGTTGCCCTTTGCTTCTCTTGTTTTCTCAGCTATTGGTAAGGTCTCCTCAGACAACCACTTTCCCTTTTTGCACTTTTTCTTGGGAATGGTTTTGCTCACCACCTCCTATACAATGTTACAAGCCTCCATTCATAGTTCTTCAGGCGCTCTGTCAGATCTAATCCCTTGAATCTGTCACTCCCACTGTATGATCATAAGTCAGGTATTATTTAGGTCGTACCTGAATAGCCTGGTAGTTTTCCCTACTTTCTTCAATTTTGCAATTAGGAGCTCATGATCTGAGCCACAGTCAGCTCCAGGTTTTGTTTTTGCTCACTATAGCCAACTTCTCCATCTCTGGCTACAAAAAAAGTAATCAAATCTGATTTCAGTAGTGACGATCTGATGATGTCCATGTGTAGAGTCTTCTCTGGTGGTGTTGGAAGAGGGTGTTTGCTAGGACCAGTGCATTATCTTGGCAGAATTCTGTTAGCCTTTGCCTGGTTTCATTCCTTACTCCAAGGCCAAACTTGCCTGTTACTGCAGGTTTGTCCTGACTTTCTACTCTTGCGTTCCAATCCCCTATGACGAAAAGGATATCTTTTTTGACTTTGAAGTTCAGTGGGATTTGATTACA